TAGTCGACCACCGTCCACCAAGTCCATTGCCACCTCTACCATAGTCGACCACCGTCCACCAAGTCCATTGCCACCTCTACCATAGTCGACCACCGACCACCACCGTCCATTGCCACCACCACTACCGTTGTTTGCCACCTTCAACTCCTCAACTACTGTAACAACCTCGTCCAGTCGGCCACCACCATTTATTGCCACCTTCAACTCCTCAACTACTGTAACAACCTCGTCCAGTCGACCACCACCAATTATTGCCACCTCACCTCCACTATAACCACCACCACCACTATCTCCACTACATCAACCATAACTACCTCCTCTGTTGTCAACCGCCACCACCACAATTTACCATCTTCATGTCCTCTATAACCACCGTCGTCCACCAAGTACCACTGCCTCTACCTCCATAACCACTGTCAGCCACCGGCCACCACCGTCCATTGCCACTACTACTGTCGGCCACCACCATAACCAAAACCACCTCCACCACCACCACCACTACTACCATCAATTATATCAAACTTTTCATTCAAATTTGATACAAATATGAAAACTTTGTACAAATATTTATAAATTAGATTCTTTAATTATTTACTTTATTTGTGTTAATTATAACTATTATATAATATTTAAAATTATCAAATAACTTTTGGGGTAACTTGTCTACTTCTGTTCCGTTCAGTTCTAGTCGTACCAAACACCAGACATACTCCTGTTATGTCCGGTCTTGTCTCGTCCAGTCCTACCCTCTTATTTTGTCATGTCCTATCCAATTCAATCCTATTCAGTTTTGTTTAAATATGTCTGCATACAAAACGCTACTTTAATCATGGGTTAAAAGAAACATGAGATACCTTTTTTGTGAGTTGGAGGTTGAAATAAATATGTTGCATGTAAAAAAATAATGAGAAGTAGGATTAGAAAGAGACAGCTTGCACACGTGCGGCTGCTCTCCCCAATCAATATCCAATTTTCTTTTCTTTTTTCTATTTAACAATCAATTATTATTCATGTTTTATATTAATTTGTAAAATAAAATAATAATAATAATAATGATGGTGATTAAGAAGGGCAAGAGAGAGTTGCGGCGTTTCGATGGTTGTGACGATTCAACTACTTATTTCTCATGTCCCCCTTTTTTTATTCCTCAAGTACATCCCTTCATGTACTACAATATCTTAACCACGTTTGCTTCCTATAATATTTTTAAACAAAATAATTTGATTTTCAAGAATTTTAAATAAAATTTAATCCTACTTTCGGTTTGAATAATTAAAATAAAAATATGTTAAATAATTTGTAATTTGTTTAAACATAGATTCAAAATTGGAATGAATAAACGATAAATGATCAAAATTAATCCCCCCTTTATAAGGATGATGGTTTGCTATGGTGCAGATCAGTGGTGGTCTAGAAAGTGGTGTGGATCTGGTTGGTGATGGTTCAGAACAATGGTGGTTGATGGATGTCATATAGGTATGGAAAGATCAAGTAGGAAGATGATGATAATTTTGTCTTTTTGAGAAAATGGGATAAAATTGAATTGAATTTTTTTCTTAATTATGATGGAATAATCAAATCCATGAATGGTGAATGCGTGGAATTCAGTTCCATTTTATACGTAAATCAAACGACTGAATTAAATTTGGTTAACAAAATTTATCATTTCAATTCCGTTAGAATCCTACAAACCAAACGCCCCATTTATCCTAGAAAAAAAACATTTATATTAAATATTGTAAAATATAATTAAATTAATGAAAAAGGAAGGGTTATGACGAATCTGAAGGCTCAAGATCCCATGCATGGTCAAGAAGTCGTCCTTAATTCCTGTAATTCTTTTTTCTTTTTCCTTAATTTTATTTTATTTTATTTTTGGATTTGGTAGTCAACAAACATTTATAATTATATGTCATTGTGTTTGTGTTATTAAAAATTAACCTTATCCTATATACCTTTCTTTAGTTTTTAAATTTTGAATGAAAGATTTTTTAAAATCAATTAAATAGATCTTTCATCTATAAAACTGATACAGAGATGAGTTATTATACAACCCTTTACATATGTACAACCAATACAACTCAATCTCAACCGTTCATTTAATTTAATGAATATATGATCTCATAAAAGTTTTGATTGTTTCCTAATATAAAGTATTAATCATATATTGATGCATATATTGATGCTTTTGACACAACTTTTGCATGCACCTATTTATGTTTTAACTATTCAACGGTATATATTATCATATGTATTGTATTGCTCGAACGTAGATTGATAAATACGAGTAATTTTATTTCTTCAAAGAACCACCTTACTTGAAACTACGATCACATCCAAAAACTTTCCAATAAACAATGTCTTAGTATCGTTAGATCAGAAATCAACGCGTAAATTACTTAAGAAACTTAACGTCTGAGGAGATGTAGACTTCCCGAACAGCGAGCACCATGAAGGAAGCTTCTCAAGAACCCGTTTCACTTTTGGAGTCAATCTGTTCACATCTGTTCTTAGTTTCAGCAGGAGATCATTTCGCCCCTCGGTTTGGTTTTTGGCCCAGTAAAGATTCAGATCAAACCTTGTGGGAGCATTCTTCCCTCCAGAATACTGAATAATATGCCATCCATCTACACTCCTTTTCTGGCCAATTTGGATCAGCTCCTCGCCATTTTCAGCATCTGAACAAAAAACGTCGATAAGGGTCCCATTATCTCGAGCTGTAACAAGTGTCTAAAGAAGATCTTGATTGTAAAAGTAGGAAGTACCTTTGAGTCGGAAATCTTCTATTTTATTAGTATTGATTGCAAGAGACCATCGTGTTGAAACTTTAGTATCAATTGTGACTTGTGTAAGTCTGTCATCAGTTCTTGAATCGCTCTCCACTTCTAGAATTGGGACGTCTGATTTGCTCCATCCATTGACTGAGTCGTCCTTGGTCCAACAACTATACGAAGCAGTGAAAGTGACAAAATCAACAGCATTTTCTCTTCCACATACAAACCCTTCGCCAATATGTTCAATCTCCTTGGTTAACCTTCCAGGAGTAGTCGAAAATAAAGATATATAAGAACTTGGTTCTTCAAATCTTCCCGATGCGTCCACAACATGAACAACCTAAGAATGATCACGGGTTTACATGGAAATATCAACTCCAACAGTTCCAAACAAAAGTGAAGTACGCATTTTGACTCTGATTACTCAAATGGGCTGCTTTTCATCTTGATAAAGATTTGATATTGGTCACGTTCACTTCGATAGTCACAAAGTGAAAAATGTCGAACAATCAAAATACAAATAGAATCTTACATTTACGGCTCTGGAAACGTCTTCTGTGAACGGCGGGATGAGTCCAGATATCACCAGAGTCGTTGAAAGACCAAACACAATAAAGCTTGCTATTGCAATAAGATTTTTTGCACCTAGAAATGAGGAACAGTTGTTATCTAAGAAAACGATTTGGATCAATTTGAGTTGCAAAAACTGCAACTTTAACGAGTCACATGCGGATCTTTATTTAAACTGAGATAGCAATTTGAGATATGAATATGGAAAGAAAAGAGAACCTGATATGTGCACATATGAAAGGAGATACACCAATGTAAGGCATATGACAGCCGATATGTACACAGCAAGTACAAGACTCCCCAACCATTCAGGATTGCCTCCAGGATTCCTGCATCCATATAAAATCCAAATATTCGTCCACACTTAATTTTAAAAGAAATCAAAAGACAATCAAGTTTCATAGCAAGTGATTGCAGTTGCTGTGGCATATTTACGCTGCATCAAAGTGTATGAATTTGAAGATATACAAAAAGAAAAAGAGTATGTATGTGGATTTTCGTATAAACTTGATACCAACATTTTCCTTTTAGTAGGGTTTTTGTTATAAGGTTTAGCACCGTTATAAAAGTTTTCATACAGATTTTAAGAAATCCACATCAAATTTTGAAGTTATCACTGTTATAGACGTTTTAACTTGGCCTGAAAAGGCGAAATGTATAACTATGCAATACCTGTCAAAGCGAACAGCCATACCAACAACCGTTCCTGCCAATCGGATGAACATGCCACCAGAGATTAAAAATGGTACAAATAGTCCCAGCAATAGCGTTATTGTTTTGAGTGCCTTTGGTACTCGGGTTGGGGATAAAGTTGCTTCAAGCAATCCATCTACAAAATCAAGAAGTTATATCAGTCAGAATCTAAACATTATTCATTGATGGATGAAAAACCCATTACAGGCCTCATAAATAAGGCTAAAACATATGTCCAACATCCATTCTTCCTTACAAAACTTGATCCTCAAGATCAACACTTCCAAAGGTGAACATTCCCACTTCTGAATGTCCCAGAATAAAAAAATACAAACATTAATCTATCCCATTGTTAAATTATTTGTTGAACTTTGGGAAATGTTAAATCATATCAATCATTTTGGGCTGAAGAAGATAGAATCAGACCACGAAACTTTTGGGAAAGTAAACTTACAAGCAAAAGCTGGCGAGACCAGCCACACAAGAGCTAAATAGGAAGATCCAACTTTGCAATAATGTCCCACCACTAGAAGAATAAGCCATTGCAACAACCCGCTTTTATAGAGCCATCTTTCAGCTTCCAATTTTGCCCAGCTGACTTGAACCACAGGAGACAGGTTCTCCAGTCTTGTGGAAAATACACGTGATATATATGTTTTTAGTATTACATAACCAATATGTTGACCGGTAAGAGCCCCAAGGAAAGCAGGGGAAACAAATAAACCTCCAACAATCCATGGGCTTGAAATGAAGGGAACTGGTGATGAATATATGAGCGGTAGAATGAAGGCAACAGCCATAGAGAAACTTAACGAACATATCCACATTAGTAGGATACTTAAAAATGACAAGGCTAAAGAGATAGCAGCAGTTGAACCACCCATCAAAATTGATGTAGCCCATATCATCATGGATTGCATGATGACCGAATTGTAGAGCATGTTGGCAAACCGTTGACGAAATACAACCATGTATGTTCCCTGCACAAAATTGGAAAATCAAAAAGATAGTTTCATCATGCAAACTTTCAACTAATGGTACTCCCTATTGGAGAAAAGAGGTATCCTTTAACTTTTTAGGCAAAACTTGGTGCTTCATGAATACTCCAATGACTGTATTTCTTCACTCTGCTGATGCATGTTTCTCAATGAAGGTGGCAGAAGCATTGGGTTTGGCAATTTATAAGGTTCGTATAAAAGTTAAAGTTAATCGTCCGTTTGATGTCAAAAGTCAAATGCACCTCTCACTGGGAGAGGTGGGAGTTCTGTAATCAAGAAAACATAAACATAAATCACTTGAGGTTTTAAAACAGTAAACGTACCAAAATGTCGAAATATATGGCAGTATCTTCATCAGTTTTCTCATTGGCCGCAATTTCTTTGCTTTTAGAAAGTTGAGAGGACGCAGCAGTATGAAGAAGAAAAGCAAGCATATTTTCTCCAAGATGCTGAAGAGAACCTGGTTTTAAAAGCTTTAACTTGTCATTCTGCAAGTACAAAATACACCAGTACGAGAAGATATGATCACTTTAATTTGAAAGAATACATGTATTTATAAAAAAGTAATACTTATGGTGTTTAAAACTCTAACAATACCTTTGTGTGATATACAGCAGTATTGTCTGCATAAGCAAAGTCAAGCCCAGAAAGACCAGCAACCTCTTTGTACACTTGAAAATCAGTAGCAGATTTTATGACACCTGAAGTAAAAAGATCCTGCGGCACTAAAGAAAAATGGAACATAAAGATCTGGAACTAAGATATGACATATATGGTATTTTTCTGCTTTCTTTTTTCCTTCATTTGGTGGCTTAGTAAAGTGAAAGACCTAATATACATAAAAGGAGGACGAAAAGAATACACACCTGAGCAAGAATTTGACCAGATGGGTATTTCGCTACCAATGCATAGTTCTCTATAGCCAATGGATTAGGACCAGCCTGTCAAAATGAATGACAAATTAAGGGAAGCACCAAGGAAGATTGATTGTTAACTAAGATTTCTCAAAGGGTGTTTGTTTTTCTGTTTAATGGCATTAAAGACATATTAACCTCGTTACTCCTACTCCAATATGAGAATTATAACACTACCCTCATGGTGTCAATTACCATAATGTTCAAATTTCGAGAATACTTTGCTTCAGCTTTGAGATAGGAGTAAGACATTTAAACCACAATACTTAAGAAAACGAAGAACGAGGAGCGACTCATTAAATCAGACCTGAAATATAGCAGAAGTTCCTCCAATGCCCATGGCCTCCAAGTCAACAGCCATACGTATAGTACTGCTCCATGGATGCTGCAATGATTGTATAAATTATCACTATGAAAGAACAAAACAAAAGGGTAAAAAAGTATAACTACAAATTGATAACACTTGCTCTCTCTTCAAATATACTCAGAACTTCCATTAGTTTTTTATATGCCCAAGCCTGCCATTGAGCATACTTTGTTACCTTGAATGATAGACAAATTAAGACAACTACTTCCTTTATAAAACGGCCAAAATGACGAAATTTTTGGTCACTTGTAGAAGTTTTATCACCAAAAAGATTGGAAGTATAAAAAACCCAAATTAAAAGTAAATATCTTTGAACTTCAGATGAGAAACCAAGAACATACAATTAAACGACCTCAAAGCTGATCTAGAAGGAACCCAAAGACACTTGTTTGACAACTTTGCACATGATTAAGTACAAATAACAAAACGACTAATAAGGATAATCAAGTAACATCAAATCCATCTCAGGGTTAAACTTGAAACATGACTTCTTTGCTGCAACAGGGAAAAATTGGAAAGTCAACACTTGTTTGGGACAGAGGGAGTAGTTACTGGTCTGAGCTCCACATATAACTAATCCTATGCATGGCAGACATTCATAAACATCATCACTTCATCGATGAATAAAATTATTGATGTTGTATGAAAAGAAAATCAGTTTATAAAGGACTATTAAATCCATCAATCCAAAATAATGTGTACATTTCAACAGTTGACTGTGCTCACTTTGGCAAGCATTGATTATTTTGCAAAAAACCACATCTCTTTTATTATAAATTAGTCGTCAAAACAAAAAGTAAGTGATCCAGGTTAACATAAGTAAAGGTATAGAGCAGGATCAAACCTGAGTTATAAAGCTATGGGCACCATTCAAGCCCTCTTCCTCCCCAGTATTGAACAAGAAAATAACAGAATTCTTGAAACCATGAGCCCAATGAGAGACTCCTCGAGCGAGCTCCAGCATAACAGCTACACATGAACTGCAGTCACCAGCTCCTTCCCTTTATGAACATAAAGGTTCATTTTCATCTTAAGTTAATCATTTTGCTTAGTGAGATACATAATGGCTGAAGGAAGAAGCTGATACAACTTGAAAATAAATAAAGGCCAAAAGGTAGTCAAACTAACATAGGTGGTGAATGCAAAAAACTTACGCTGAGAAGACAGTATCTATGTGAGAAGAGACCAGAATAGCGCTATCTCGTGCTTCAGATGCATATTTCGGCAAGATTCTTAAAACAACATGTGTCAGATCTGAATAAAGAAGCGTTCTCCCCTTAAAAAGTCCACCGTCCAGGATATTAGCACCGGAGCTTGCATGGAAAAGGTCCACTTCAACGTTGACCTCCCAGTGAGCTGTCTTCTTTATTTCCTCAGCTGCTGCTAAGACATACTGCACAAACAAGCAATGTAAGCTACAAGGTTTGACCTCAAAATTTCTCAAATATTAAGAACACAGATGATAGGTCTTAACCCAAAAATAATGAAATCAGAAAGAAGAATAATTAATTAGTAAAATTAACTCTGTAGGCTAGAAATTGCCAGATTTTGGTAAGCAAATTATACACAATTATATTATTCACTGAGAAGGCATTGGCAACCCTTCAATAGACTATTTTCCCCGTATTTCATTAACAACAAGAAGAAAATGAAAGAATTTACTTGAATAATCTGATGTCCATCAGCATGAGTCCAGGAAAAAACTCAATGCTCCATATTGTTAGTGTTTGACACGGGTTTAAAGGGTTCACATGGTTTCTACCTGAATTTGGTTTTTGCAACAACTACAACCTCACAAAAAGCTCCAACGTTAATGAACAAGAGCAAACCAAGGTCAAGAATGAAGATCTTATTTTTTTCAGAATAAATAGCTCCATTCTAAGATGCCTGTGAAGTTTTCGTTTCATCAAGTTTCATATTGAAGATTGTGCTCGTGCTACATGGAAACTACATACGTGTAGGAAAAACAAATTGTCCTTTTCATTTTCCAAAGTACTACATTGTTTAACAATCACAAGGTCAAGTTTTTTTCTCAGTAATGCAGATGACAAGGGCATCAATGGCAATACAAACCGACTGTAATTTGGAGTACTATTATAAAGGCATAGTTGATTACTCGGTATGAATTGGCAAAGGATTATAGTATATAAGTTTAATCAATCTTTAGGATTTCACATTATTATGAAATTATCCTTTCCTAGTTTCCTTTTGTTTATTTATTTTATTGCCAGAAGCGACTTTAGGATTTCATTTTTTAGTTCTGTTAGGTCTACATTTCTTGATCATATAATCCTAGTATATAAATTAATGGTGATTTGCTCCATCATAATATAGGGAAGATGCTGAATTTATCATTGTCTGTGTATGAGGATCTCATGTCTGATCCCCTATCCCTTGTAAGGGTAGGTGTGAGATCTCATCTTTCACCATCTGCTCTCTCCTCAGCCAATGTATTATTCTTTTATATACTCCCCCTACATTAAGGAATTCCTCCATTAAATCCTCAATCATTTACTTAGTGATGGCTTAAAACAACGGCCTATATCCTACATGAAGTAATCATAGGGATCCAGAATGGGAACCCTCTATTCTTCTTCTTGTGCATTCCTTTTCTAGAGCAATAACATATAACTCAGCTAATATGCACCCATGATATGTTAACAGATACATATGGGTGTAACCAAACCAAATGAACCCAATATATCTCACTCGAAAATAGGGTTTTGGGAGGGGGCATGAGGTACGCAAACCTTACCTCAACCATCAGGATCGGACACACATGTATGTACAATGCACAATTGGTTAAAATAGATCATACCTGCAAACCAAGCTCCAAAGCATCAGAACCAACAGGATGAGGACCCAATTGAGTCAACTCTTCGACATGCTTAGTTGCCGCCTCCTCTGAAAACCCCCTTTTACCCACCTGCTCGGCAGTAAGAGGTTCTGGCAAGCTCTCGAACTGATAATGATGAACTGCCCATATCCCTTGTATGACCAGTATAAACAAAGCCAGAACAACAAAAGCTGATCTCTTTGCAGTCACTACATCCTTACCCTTTGCCTGCTTCTCAGACTTCAACACACCATGACTCTCACCCTCACTGGAGTTCTTTGATGTAGCCGAAGAAACTGTTGACCTATTTCTCATGCTATATCAATTTGACAATAAATCGAACACCTGAAATGCAACCAAACAACAGCACTGTTATACAACAGAACCATAAACTAACAGTTCTTCCGGTACTGTCGCTCAGAGATAAAACGTGCTTTAAAAGGAATCCAAAGAAAAATTCAAGGGTATTTACCAAAAGTAATCGTGGTAACAGGGTTTAATTCATCATCTTCAAGATGGGACTAGAACGAATAATTGACGTGGGAAATAATAGGAGAACCAAGAACGAACCCTTCTTGTTTGGTGCTGGGATTGGCGCGACTTCGAATAATGGATTTCTAGGAGAGCAAATCATAGAACATGGGAGAGAGAAAATCGCCGGCTTTCGACTTAATTTAAACCATAAACGGTTTCATAAATTTGATACTAAAGAGGGGTTAGGTCTAGTAGTAATAGACATTATGCCCACTTCTTCAATTGTATGTGTATGACATGCCATCAAAGAACATGCATTAATACATAGAGAATACAGAATACAGAATAGAGAATAGAGAATAGAACGCTACTACTACAATGTATTTTGATTTAACTATAAGAGTGGTGTTTTATTGGTTTGAGTTTGTCTTCGAATGTCAAAAATATCAGGAGGTAATGAGGAATAAAACACTCTTATGGCTACGGAAGTTCAAATATGGTGACTCTAGGCTATCTGCAAAGCATGTGGTCGTCCTGAGATTAATTGGTTCGCATAGCGAGTTGGATATCCAGGTTAATAAAAAAAATATACAATATATTTTGATTTTAAAATTAAAAACTCGAGTTCCCAATTAGAAGATAAATATATGTCAATTCTAAAATAGGCATATATATACATACGAAATATCATGCGATAAAATAAACATCTTACAAGAATACAACAAAGGTATTCTCATTTGAAACTCCCATATATATATATATATATACACACACACACACACACACACATATATATATATATATATATAGGTGGTTTCGTTTACAAACCTTATCATTCCTACACTATACGAATTCATCTTAATCATTAAGTAGCGTTTGGTACGTAGACATGATTAGACTGGATTGGACAGGTGGGCAGAACTGGATAGGACAAGAGGGTAGGACTGGACATGACTGGATTGGATAAAACAAATGTATGTTTGATGTGTTGGTATGACTATGACAAGTTACCCCTCAAAAGTTATTTGATGATTTTAAATATTATATAGTTATGACTAACACAAACAAAGTAAATAATTAAAGAATTTAATTTACAAATATTTTTACACAATTTTCATATAAATGAGTACATACATATATAATGGGACCAAATTTGAATGAAAATTCCGATATAATTGATGGTAGTAATAGTGGTGGTGAAGGAGATTGTTGTAGTAGAGAAGGAGTTGGAGGTGGCGAATGGCGATAGTAGTGGTGGCAATGGACGGTGGTGGTTGGTGGTCGACTACAGTAGAGGTGGCGATGGATGATGGTGGACAGTGGTTTGTGGATGATGATGCTGTAGTGAAAGATGAGGTGGAGGTGGAGGTGAAGGTGGTCACCGGTGACCGCCGGTAGTGACGGCGACCGAAACTAGTGGTGATGACCATTAAACCAAATATCATATAAAAGTTATATATCAAACTAGGGTAGATTAGTAATATTTTAGTTTTTGTCTTATTTTGTCCCATCTTGTTCCACTTATTTTGATGGAACAAAAAAAAGTTTCTTTTGTCTCATGCTGTCTCACCTTGTCTTGTCCCATACAGCACTAAACATGGGACAATGAGTTTTTGTTTCATCCTATCTTGTCATGTCCTATGTATAAAATACAACCTTAAAGTATTTCATCTATAATTAATGAGGTCTATTTGAATTAACTAAAAATATAAATTTACCCATATCTATACTATCTTATAAAGCATTTGGCTAAAACTCTTAAAACTCTTAAAACTCTTAGAAACTCTTAAACTCGTTCATCCCTATCCGATTTCATCCCATATCTGAATTCGTGTAACTAACTGCAGATAAGCACAATCAAATACATGATAAACATCTCATTTTAAATATAAAAAATCTAAAATATAATTAGTATAATCATTAAATTATAACAGAATACTTAATTATTATCTTTATAAAATTTATAATATTAAACCAAAAATAAATTGTATATAAAAAAAATATTC